ATGACCTGAGCACTTTCTGAAATTCTGAAGAGCTCGTTTCGGGATGTGCTTCAATGTCGCCCGCTTTAAGGTCAAGACTTCATCTGAAGATGACTTTTCTGTTGTGATGGTGGCTCGCCCTGTTTCGAGACTGTTCGTGGCACTGCAGCTCCCACGATGTGATTCGCGGTCTACACACGATACATATAAACCTGCGCTGTGACGTCAACCAGGCTTCCGGTACTTCGCCAGGTAATATGCCTCTGCTGTGCTTTTCCATGTGTGCCAATTCGCATGTTGGAGCGATGACAGTTTTGCATGATAATATCGGGCAGTTGATGCCACTGCATTATTCGGCAGATCTGTCCATGCTGTAATTGTTAGCTATAAAAATTTTAAACCAACTCTTATAAGCCTACTACAAGCCTGCTCGCTCGCTTTATTCTCATAAAATTAGACGAAAAAAAATCACACCGGTTGTTCTCTACACAAGAAAAAAATTTTGAAACTTTTAAATGCCGGTCAAATGCCGGTTCAATAACATGCTTGAGATATTCACAACCAATTTAATTTTCTAGTGAACAGTCGGTTATTTCAATGCTTTATTTTAAATTTCTTCTTTTGATCGCCAACATGACTGACCTCGAAACTTACGGAAATTTTAAGGACGAGCTAAAATATGAGATTTAAAAAACGCCATGGAAGACATTATTTATTTCAAAAAAATTATCCAAAAACTTTCGACGTCAACCAAGGAAGAGAAAAAGGTAAAAATATTTTCGATCTGGAAAAATTTAAAAATCCGGGTAATTCGAAAAATCAGAGAACAAAGTCGAAAATAAAAAAGAATGGAACAAAGAAAACGTGACAAATAACAGAAAAAATCAATTTGACCCACCAGACGAAACCAATGAACTCAACCAAGAAATAAATAACCACGATCACGAAAAAGTCGAACAAAGAAAACACATATTTTACCAAGAGATGGCGAATACTGCAGATTATTGCTGGGGGACTCAATAGTGAACAGAATAAATGGAGAACAAATATCAGAAAATGTATTAGCGAGAAGATTTGAGGGCCACAACATTTTTGGACAAGTGGAAGGGGTGAAAAACAGTAAATCTCGCCATTTTAAACACGTAACTACTTTGATTGGAATAAATGACTGTGTTTCAAATGAATTCGATGCAAAAGAATCTGTGAAGAGTTAAGAGAGAATAATTTATTTTTTAGTTTTTTAAATCATAAGTTTAACCCCCAAACAATCGCAATCTGTACAGTAACTCCTCTAGGGGCTTTTAGATAGAAATTTAATGCAAATGTACAGAAACTTAACAAGCAGTTTTGAAACTTAATTAGATTTTGAAGGATTTGGGCGATGAGTCTTTTGAATATTTGAAACCAATTTGTGATGCTAAATATTAAATTCTGGTTGTTTTGTGCGGCGCTTTTAACCGCTATATCTCAAATAGAAAAATTGGAGAAAACGAAAAAATTTCTGGGATACTTCAGCTCAATAGAAGCTGTCCACAAAATTTGTTCCACGAAAGCAAAAAATCTGATATTTGTGCATTTGAATTTTCAAAGTGTAATTAGAAAACGCATGCAGGTTTAAAAAAACTGTTCAGGATTTGGGTGCAAATACGGTTTTAGGATTTTCGGAAACAGGGCTAACAAAAAAAGATGATTTGAAGTTATGGGATTCAGAACCAAAAACACACGTGATGTTTAGATTTGATAGACAACCTTCAATAAAAATATAAGGTGATGGTGTTTTGTTGTTTAGACCGATAAAATTAGCTCCGAAACTAAAAGAAGATTTAAACTTGTTTGAAAAATAAAAAAAGTGATTCAGTATGGGTGGAATGCAAATCGAACTTTAACTTTGCGAGTAAAAAAAAACGTTGATTAATTAGTGTTATAATCCAACCAATACTAATTTCATTGATTTTTCAGAACAATTAACACTCAACGTTTACAACACATTTACTGTTTCTAACAAGATAACTCTCATGGGTCATAATAACATAAATTACTTGAACAGATCAGATAAAGACAATATGGAATCGATCATTACTCCATATGGATTAAAATTTTCTATCCCAATGATGAGACTCGAGTCAATGCTTCGGCAAAAACTCAAATCGATTAAATTAATAGTGACTATGAAACAAACGGAAACGCATTTTGTTTTGATACACCTTATAAAAACGGAACATTTTGCTTCACTTGTTGTGACAAATATTAAATGTGGAAAGACCTAGCCAAAAATTATTTATACTTTCAACAAAGACAATTACAGTAAATAGGATTTTTGTTAAACTCTTTCCGCTCTTCCCTAGTTTCAGTTATACCAATGCAAAGCACAAACATGTTTTCATTGATGATAACTTTAATTTTTAATGCTTTTCACCAACATGCGTTGATCAAAACAATGTATTCGCACTTTTTAAGCTAAAAATGAGCTGAAAACGGAATGGTTTGATTCAGAAAGCAAAGAAGAGTTGAAAAGTCAGCAAGGATCGCTTTAATCTTGTCAAATTCAAAATACCGAAGATAATTGGCAGTTGTCCAGCTTAATTAAAGATAAACGAGAAAAGCATTCGCTAAGTGTCTACTCACTTCTGAAAACAGTTCAGCAAAAATGGAAAAATATCAAACAGGTTCGTGGTTGCTGTTCAAGCAGCAGCATAATTACGGCGATACGTAACTCATTTCATGAAATGATAACTCAGGATACAAAAATTGCAAATCATTTTAACTATGTATTTTTCGAACTTAGGCGATTTTTTTTTGGCTCTGTTAAGTCTCAACCTTATATTCTAGTTAAGTCTGAACTTCCACCCTTCCATTTTCTACCGTACCTGCTTGGGCAATAATTGTGACCAACCCTACTTTTGTTATTAATGCCTGCATAGATGGGAAAATTTTTTCTAGCTGAGCTAAAGAAAGCAAATGTCACACCCTTCTTCAAAAAAGATAATCCGTTGGATCCAAAAACTATCGCACTACTTCAAAAACATGTGCATTTTCCAAAATCTTTGAAAAAGCTCTTTATGCTCAAATAACAGAACATTCGAACAAACATCAAATAATAACTCCAATTCAGTTGGATTTCGCAGAAAGTTCTCAACACACGTTACAAAAACTATCCGAAAAGAAATAGATTCTATAAAAAATTGTTCATGCAGCTTTATTGGATCTTTCAAAGGCTTTTGACTCTATTTCACATATTTTAGAAATAACTTACACTCTATTTCAATGGAAGCAAATGCATTATTAAAAATTTTCTCAATGAACGCCTTCAAAGTGTAAATGTGAATGGAATTTTTTCTGACTGGGTTGAAGTTAAAAGGTGTACCACAAGCTACGGTACTAGGTCCATTGTTATTCAATTTATATATCAATGATATACCAAACGAAAACCCCATGAATGTACTTTGAAGCAATATCCAGACAACTGTGCGATATTTTCATCATCCCTAACTTCAAATGATGCATTGAATGAGTTACAAAGTTCATTGCTCGAACAAACTAAGTTTTTAGCCAAAAATCAGTGGAACTTGAATGCATCAACATCAATTTATAATTTTTGGTCAAAAAATGATAAACAGATTCTGGAAACTTACCGACTTATTATAACTGACCAATACGTAGCGAAACTGAATACAAATATTTAACCTGATTCTTGATTATAATCTTTCATTTCATTCTCAAACAAAAAAAATGCAAAAAATGGCCCAAGGAATTAAAACGATAGATACTATTGGACAACAACTTCCAACATTGTCTTTGGTTGCATTGCGTCATTTAGATTATGCAGCAATATATTTGGAGCAAATTAATGCAACTTCAATGATGTCCTAGAAAAAGCAGTTGAACTGGGCTTTGAAACGCACATTTTTCAGATCAAAATGCGAGCTACCTTGAGTTCGAAAATTTGTGATATCGAAAATTTATTTTTGTTGTTTGAAACAAATAGCTTTCTTCGGTTCACTTGATGAATTAAAAATACATCAGCTCTATAAGCTTATAACTTTTCGAATGTCAAAGCACATGATATCAATAAGCTGTAAAGGTGCAGCTATAAGCCGAAAATCAGTGGAATTTGAATGCATCAAAATCTGAAAATAAAATTTTTTGTCAAAAAAATGATCAACAGAATCTAGAAACTTACTGACTTATTATAAATGACGAATACGTAGCGAAGAAAACTGAATGCAAATACTTAGGTCTGATTCTTGATTTTAAATTTTCATTTCAGTCTCAAACAAAAAGATGTCCACAGAGAAGCAGTTGAACTGGGCTTTGAAACGCACATTTTTCAGATCAAAATTTCAATCTCATGCCGCACTACGAAAAAGTAAATAATTTATCGGGATTGCAAAAAGAATTGAGTTGAAATGTGTTATATATCTATATCAGTATCTTACTAACAAAAGGCAAGCTTTTACAAAGGCATTGAGGCTACCGGCAGCGATTTATAGAAAAAATCAACAAACAAAGCAAATAATATTTGATAAACAATGTTCAACTACTTGTCTACATCTCTACCTGACGTCAAAAAAAAAGGAATTCGTTGCCCAGTAAATTACGAAATTTTGGTATTACCACATCAACATCAAGAAAAAATTAAAAGAGTTCTAATCTAATGAGTTCTAATGAAATCTAATCCTATATGTACGCATACAAATACATGGCGTGAATTCCGTTTTCATTAGTTGATTTGCAATTATATGTTCATTTTGACAATGTTTTAATAATTTTACCTTGTTACAATTTTTACGGGTGTACAAATATATTTTTTTCATTCCTAAATTGATGATTTAATTGATGTGATAATTTCATCTCATTTTATTCAAACATGAGTCACTAATCTAAATTTACAACTAATATTAATTTTACACTGTTACTATACTGTGCAGTATCTATTCTGTATAGTAATTATAGTGTTTCTTCTTCTTCGGGTTATTATAAAGTGAAATACCCAAAAGGTCAAATAGTTCACAATAACTTACCCGCTATTGATTTCGGCAACGCATTTAGCACAGCAATGCTCCGATGGGCTAACATGAAGGCATCCATCTTCGTTGTCAGCTCCACATTCATCAGAGATACAGAAGCAACAGTTGAAATTGACTGAGCAACTTTTGACACCACAAACTAGTTTTCGAACTTTCGGAGACAATGGGCATGACAAGCATTCCTCCTTTTCAGTAGTCTTCCGTTTTCTAGGATTATCCATAACCACTAACAGTTTAGCCACCCATTCATCTGAAAACATTCCGTAACTTTATAAATGTAACTGGCAATGACCAAAACTGTTTGCAAATATTTACACAAAGGCGAAGCTGGGCTTCGCAAACACTTGCGAGAACACGACCAAAAAGCAGCTCTATCAAGTGACACAATTAAAGTAGAAATGAGCCTCGAATTAGCAAACTCGAGGCTTAGCGAAAACTCCAATTAGTAAAAATCTACGTTCTAGCAAATTTGAGTCTCACGCACGAACCATTTAGCCACGGATGCTTACAATCCCCAAAAACTAGACGTCAATAACGCAGCCACATATGCTAATAAATTGCCAATTCGATGCAGCAAAAAAGCACCAATTTTCGTATAGAGTCCTACCCTCTGTTGGCAAGCTCGCAACACGTTGGCGCCACTGCGGCGATCACTATTCTGCTGCTAAGTTTTCTTCTGTTTGAACAGTAGAAAATTAATGTAATTAAAGTTGATAATTTGTGCCAGTCGTTCATATCTGGAAGTTTGACCTTGAGGGACACGAATATACGTGATTTTGGAGTGAAGTTTTATTTTTCAAAATTTCGAATGGAGTCTGTCATGCTCAGTTTTCTCGCGACAACTGAAAACATAAAATGAGAAATCAGAACGACCGAATTAACAATTGCGGGAAAGTTGTCAAATATATACAGTGGGAAATCGCTATTCGCAATTTCCATCGTAGAAAACTAGAGTAGAGCTGTCCTATCTGACATAGAAGACCAAACGACCACGAGAGCAGAGCTAAAATCAACTGGACCAGTGTGAACCTTCAACGGAAAGGCTGCCAAGTAAAGTCTCCCAATGGTCCAGAGTCAAAACTATATTCTTGAGTTAAAACTTACTTCCCTTGATTGGGACTCATCGTTAGAAAACTTCTTGAGTTATACTTGATTATATTTATGCCAGAGTCGTTAATTAGTTTAGTTACTCTGTGTCTCAAGCGTGCTGCTATGTAAGTACCAAATTTAGTTTTCTCGAGTGTGTTTTTATGATTGTTATGTTGAGATAAGGCGAGATTTAGGTTGATCCATCTGAAATGGATCAAAGTTCCACCGTCTAAAAAAAATAACTTAACGGATTGTTCCGACTCTGTTTATAATGGCGTTCGTTTATTTTGGGTATTTCGAGACCTAAGTATGGGGACGTTCTTATTTTCTAGAGTGGAAGGATATTTTTAACATTCATCCGGAAGATACATATCGACGGAAAATAAAACTAAGTCCTAAGACGACTGGCTAACGTCTAAACAGAGCTTTATATGCTATTCACCGTCTCTACCAAGCCAGTACTTTCGGTGGTCTTTTCTAACATCGGGTCGACGAAAAACGTTACTGCTTTCGGCTTCGGTCAAAACACTCAAATTAACTTAATTACATGCAAGAATAGTGAGCTCATGGCTGGGTCTCAGTATCCCCAGACCACGAGGTCACTCCTAAAAACAGGGCTACTACTATTTATTATATTACTATTGTTTTTGTTCAGTAGATAAAAATCATCATCTCCATCGAAGATGGATCAACCCTTTCCCCCAACTCCTAGCTTCTCATCCTTATCAAAATGAATCTAGTTGTTAATTAAATTCAATTCAGTACATGACAAGAAGCTAAAAGTTTATATGAAAGGATAAAAGTTTCAGTTCCGAAACCCTTCCGGATTCTTGAACCCACTGAATCAAGCTCGTTAATCTTGAATTCTTCGTAATCCGGAAGGCTGTCTTCCACCTTTCACCGTTGTCTGCAACGGCCTTGCAACTATTGTAGCGACACAATAGTTGCAACTCGGAACGTTCCTCTGTTTTTCTCTATTGTTTTTTTCTCACAATCTTAGTTGTTTTAGTCAGTGCGACTATCGTTCTTCTGTTGTTTTTTTTAGCTTTTCTGCCAAAATGGCCGTTTCTGATGTTTCTCAGAAATGTTACGTAATCACTTCGAAAATTTAAAAATTAGCAATTTCCGAATCCTTCAACCTTCACGTTTTGTTCAATCGTTCGAATAACGTTCTTAATCCTTAAAAATCACTAATCCGGAAGGCTCGCTGCTAAAATTTCGAATTCTGCAGAGATTGCATTTTGGCCATTCTGGTCGAATGTCACATACTCCCCGGACAGCCCGGTCAATGTCCTCATTGAATCACGCAATGTTTGTAAAATAGATACAGTGTCATCGAACAGAATTTACAAAATGCACGAAATTACCTTTATCCACGTCACATCGACTCACTGCAGAATATAAATGGCATCATAGTACATCATTATAGCCTTCAAATTCTTTCATGAATCTGCACATTGAGGATATGACTTAAGATAAAACATATTTTCTGACTTCCAATGTCAATGTCCCGATTACAACTTTTTCTCTTAGGTTTAAAAGGTGTTGGCTTGCAGGACAGTCCTGCAATCCAACAAGCTAAAATTATCCAACTATGCTTCTCCCTTCGGAAATCTTGCTTGTTATTGTCCTGAATACTAAAACTAAGAAACTCTGTGGTTAGAAAGAACAATGAAACAATCTCCCTCTTCGAGAGATTACCCAAGCCTTCCATGTCACCACAAAGTGATCAGTTCTCCTAGCTGATTAAAAACAGTCATGCAGGCTGGAATATTTAAATATACTCCTTCACTTAAGCCTTCCTAAATAAATAGTAAGTGAGTGTTTCTAAAGCCACCCAACTAAAATCAAAATGCAAATTTATAAATGCAACAATTTCAAAACTCAACTAAATGTTTCAGTTTTCAATTACAACTTGGTTGCTTGGTTTCTCACTTGAGTTTTTTTCACACACATAAAACAATTCTGAGTTGTAACTTTTTCTTCATTACTCCTTTGTTTTCTTCTTTTTTCGTCGTTTAGAAGTTCTAAAACTTCTAAATTCTTCTAATTTAATCTCTTTTTGCATCTTGTTTTTCGGCCATTCGTCAATGTTCCATTTCTTCCTCCTGTGATACTGACTCTGCACTCTCAGTTTCCGTATCTTGCAACACGTCATTAGCTATCCTGACGCTGCTGGAAGCCGTCCTGCAACACTTCTGCTCTTCTACCTTCTGTTTGCAGCAAGGTAGGGGATCCACGTTAGATTCTCTGTTCCTGCAGAAGCTGTTGTGGAGACACAACGTCACGTTTCTCTCCAAATCTTCCTTTAACATCTCTGCCTTCTCCTTTCCACTACGTTCACTCGTCCTGGAAATTCTTTTCACAGCGGTGGTCACTGCATTCCGATGAGTCACGAGAGCTCGCTTGAAAGCTCCTGCTCCAATCCAGCTGATATTCACTGTACACCCTGCCATGCTTCGACATATGCTTCTTCGCATACTCGCACAACCATGTAGTCATGTTAGCTCTGAACCATGGCATCAATCGTTTCCTTGCCCATATCTTCTTCACTTCCATCGGAATGTTTAGAATTTTGCACATTGTCTCAAAAAGATCTAATTCTTTTAGACTATCTAATTTCCGCAACTGTTCTCTCGTCGGTGCCTCCTGTCTGTTATTTTCTCTCACATGAGCTTCCAGCCATCGTATCGCCATCATAACTCCCAATATCACTATTGTTACGGGCTGTGATGAATCTGGTAAACCCATGGAGAGCAGTTCTCCAGAGTCCCAGATCAACATCAGATTACTACGCTTGGGATACCACCAGGTCTGCAGCAAGCAGTGGCAAGGAAACTCGTCATGTGTCAACATGATGCTCCTACAATTACGTTTTCCCGAAGCTTCCAGTAATGTTTCCACTTCCATCATCACTCGGTGGACCTCATCATTCTCATCTACTGCATTGTAATCTGTGACAGTTGATCCTCTCTGTTTCTGTCTCTCAAAGTCACTGAAGTTCCCGCTCACATATCCCATGAACTTCTTTCCTAGTATTGACTCCAATTCTTACTTAGTTCTCTCTGGAACTGCTGATAACATCTTACATAGTAATTCGTATGACTTCTCGGACATTCTCGCCAGTCTCACACACTTCGGCACTGAGAAGGCTTGATCCACAATCGTTCTTGTACTCTTCAAGTCCACAGCCACGAAATGTACAGGGTATCTGCTCTTGCACATTGGAGCCAATGTTGAACCCAGCAAATATCGTGCTCCTGATGGTCTACAATAAGTCTCACTGTGTCTAATGTTCATTTCCGTCTCGATTGCTTCCCTCCATTTTCCTATGTATTTCTGCTCAGTCTGCAGAACTCCTGGGAATACTTCTACACTGATGGCTGTAACCATCTCATGTTTCTGTTCTAGATTCAATAGTGACTCTAAGGAACCAAACATGCTGTAGAATCCTAGTGCAGTCAAAGATTCACATCGGTTCCTCCATGGCAATCTGCTATCAGTTCCGTTTCTGTTATTTCTTTCATCACTACGTTTCCAAACAATACCGTCAATTGCTTGTGTTGTTTTTCCAGGGTCTTCACGCAGTCCAGACTTCCACAAACGTGACCCTCCAGTCCACAGACTTCCGCCAGACAGCTACCAGGTTTGACCCAGTCTTCTGGTCCCCAGCCAGGCAACTCCACTTTATCTTCTCCGTTGCTCTTAGAGGCCGTTATCATCACATTATATATGATGTTGAGGTCACGCAGGTTACAGTCTGCATTCAGTTCCCTCTGTACGTCTTGTGTCGCCCGTAATATCGAGTCAGCGTTGGGACTAGGACACCATGATGGCCTCATCAATTCCCACACTGCCATCAAGCTCGTTCTCAGTAATTCATCTGAGAATCCCAACCCAAACTCCACTCTTTTGTCGGATTTTGGTACTGAAGGTGCAGTCACCTCTTCTTCCAAGACCAGTCCCAATTTGGCCTGTGGATTGTTGACGCTCTTAATCGTTACAATTCTGGACGTCCAGAATCTAAGCAACACCGCCTGCTCATAATCGAAGAAGCAATCGCGTATGTCTTCACTCAGGAAAGGATTGTACGCTATCCCTATGATCCCGGATACGTAGCTATACGATTTCTTCTTGATCGGTCCACAGTATTCACT